CGCCCCCGAAGAGGCTTCAGGGCCGTTTGTGGAGTCCAGCCCAACCCTCGGGTTTCCCTCCTCCGTCGTTCTTGAAAAGGTAATATCCGGGCCAGGAGGGGATGGGAATTGGGACCCATCCAGCTGAAGCGTCATGTTCGTCACAAATTGCAGAATGCAGAAAAGAGGTACAGCCCTCGTAAGGAAAAACACCATGCGTCTGCACCGAGGGAGAGGACAATTCCGCACTTCCAAGCTTCAGCCGAAACCCTTAGTAGTAACAGCAGTAGTAGTAGTGGTAGTGCCAGTGCTAGTGCTAGTGCTGGTGGTGGTAGTAGTAGTTTTAGTAGTCGTCGTAGTCGTAGTCGCAGTGGCAGTGGTAGTGGTCGTGGTAATGGCAGTGGTAGTGGTAGTGGCAGTGGTGGTGGTGGGGGTCGCGGTCGTGGTAGCAGTAGCAGTAGCAGCAGGAGCAGCAGCAGTAGCAGTAATGTTAGTTATCAGCAGCAGCAGCAGGAGCAGGAGCAGGAGGAGGAGTAGGACTAGGGCGTGGATTGGGGTTTGGGTCGCAGTAGGTTGGATTCTTTGGATTGCTGTTTTCTTACCTGCATAGGCTTTTCTTGAAGGACTCAGGCGCTGGGCCTGTCTATTCACTTCACACGCCACAACAGTCCCTTCTCCAGAAACGGGGTCAATGGAAAGTCAAGCAACCTGCATATTTCCTGGCCGCCGGGACTGTCTACTCAAGCAGGCTTCCTTCATCAGGTTCATAGATCAGCCGAAAGTTTCCGGGACTGCCCTTTAGCCTTTGGATTACCATTCTCGGAAGGATGGGAAACAGCACAGGGTGGCAGCACCCAGAAGCTTGGCTGGCCATCGTCACAAGCTTGGCTGGCAATCCAGCTTTGGATGAAGAGGCCAGATTCTCAAAGGCTTTCGAGTTTGCCATCCGCTACTGTATGACAGCAATTCCTGCGTTTAGCGAAATTCAAGGCGCAGTCGCTCTTGCCATACCAATTCCGCCCAAGAGTTAAACAGTTTAAAGCAGACTGTGACCCGCAAAAATCTAGCCGGCGAGCAAAATCACGTCACGAATGACTGCTTATTCGGTGTAAAGCAGCGCCGAAAATGACAGTCATCAGTCATCAGTGACGTCTTATGAGTCTGATGATAAAACTCATAGTGGCAAATTAAGGCCGTCATAGGCACCCCGCACGCAGGATCATAGTGGCCAGTGTATGGCATTCAACAGGTCAAGATCTTTCAAGAAAACCGATCAACCTCAGTCCTGAGCAGCCAATTGGCCATGGTGGCCAGGTGAAGCTGCACCTCCGCCGAATCTCGAACTTTGGTTCCGACGTCAGAGGCACAGAGGTCAACGAGCGGCATCCCAGGCTCACCGCCGCATGCCATGTACCACGGCGCCTTGAGTTGTTAGGATTGGGATCGTTGCTTCCTTCCGGCAGGGCATCACCCATCACGATCGGCAGGCAGTTCCGTTTGTACTTCCTCGTGGCCCAGCTGCACCTTGAGTTCTTGGTTTAGGTTAGGTTTCCCTGTCACGGGCAGAGCTGATGCGGCGCATCCAAGGCATTGGAGACCCCGATGAGTCGGCAGTTGGATGCACTCCGTAACCTAACACAAGTCAAGCTGCCGGTGTTCAGCGAGAATTTCGACGGCCTGAAGCCTGAATATGCGCCGCCTTGGCTCGCACAAATCTTTACTTGTTTCGCCTCTTTCCCTCTTCTGCTTCCACATATTTCGGAACATGGCATTCTTGTCTGAGGTTTTCGGATGCCATTCGCGAAGTAATTCTGGCAGAAGCCGATGATGCACGATTGTTGGCAGAAGAAACTGCGCGAGGCGGGCTCAGCCAGGAGCTGGCTGCAGAACACCTTGAGCTACTTGGAGACAAAGTGCAAAGCTTGTAGTGTGACTCAGTGTAGTGCATTCTTACGAGCCAACGCATGAAAAAGCGAGGAGACTGGCTGCAGAGCAGCCGCTCATCGAGTCTTTGACTCCTTCGCAGCGCGAGTCTATCACAAAGTCGCTGCAGCAGCGGCTGAGCCTGATCCAAGGCCACAAGCGTATGGGAACTTTGGTAAATTCAAGTTCGTCACGGCAAGTTTAGCATTGCGGCCGCTCGAGCGGATGGCTTGCATAGTGACTCCAAGCTGACCAGGTCCACCTGGCACAGGGAAAACGCACGTTGCCTGTGCCACGCAGATGAACTTCAGAGTTCTGACCCTGTCACTCCATGCCGACGGCCAGCACCCATAGGCCCATAGAACACCCAAACTGCTTCACTGATTCAAGCCGCGGCACAGTCCAAGAGATAACAGTCGTGCTGTCGCGGCTTCAAGGCCATCCTGGCAGTTTGGGCGTCCATCTTCGCGCCACTGGGAGAGCGCATCCTGGCAGTGGCCGATTCGAACGTGGCGGCAGACAATCTTTTTGCATCTCAGCTGCGGTCTTGGGCATTTCCAGCTACTCTTGTAATCGTCCGGTCCACTCGTTGGCTGCTTTGGTCCTTTGGCCATGTTGCCGGGGTCCTGTGCTTCGCTCTCTCAAAATTGATGTTGCTGTTTCAAGACGGTGTTTCTCGCACTTAGTCTATACTCAAGTGATACATCGTTTCAGATCACCTCATCACAATCAATACGTTGCTGCACGGCGTTTCTCTCACTCTCATTCCGAGTTCTGGCGACGGCTGAGACTAATGATCAGTGACGAGCAGCAATTGAATATGCCCATTGCTTCCAGTTCTGACTGCCAGTTCGATTCATCTTTAGATCTTTCGGCTGGTCTTATTCCGTTGGTGTTGTTGCGTTCTTGCTGATCCTGCCGCCGACAAAATTCGGTTTTGTTGCGACGGTCGCAAACCGACAGGTCGAGCCTTTAAGCCTTTGCACAAGACTTCAAGGGTCATCGGATTCGTGCGCAACAGCTTAGAAGAACAGACTGCCGCAATGACGCCGCATTGTGCAACGGTGCTCTAGGCTTTGCTTCCTGTCGGAGGTCGGGCCCACTTATACAGGGCGGGGGAACTTCGAAGCAGCTTTCCCAAAGCCAGGTAAGATTGAACAAGATGGGCGCCTTGGATGAGAGAGTCTTGCACTTTCTGCTTCTGAACTCTGCGACAGTCTGCAACCAATTCACAGCACATGTCCGTTGCCGTTGTGTGCCTATGACACATGAATACAAGTGACTTGCGTGAACTGTGGCCCCGAAGAGCCAGGAATCCACAGTGTGCGGGTTGGGCAGGGCAAGCAGGCCGAAACTGATATTGCCGAAACGAGGAGACAGCTTCCTTCGGCCGCTGCCCCAGCTATGCACCTCTTTGCTTCGACAGTCTTTATCCGCCAGTTGCGCAGTTGTTCTTCTGACTATAGGCCACGGTGGTGGTGGCCACATGCATTGGCAGCGGCACAGAGATTCTCAAATTTAAGGGTTTTGGCAACTCCCCTGCAGCATGCAGAGCTGCCGAAACGCAGTGAGGCAATGTTCGTTTCTTGCTGCAGCAGCGCTTTTGCACATCCAAGGCGGATCATTTCAGCGTGTCCTGGTCGATGAGTGTACTCAGGCGTGTGAGCCAGCAGTGCTCGTGGCTCTCGGGCGGCGATGCGAGCAGGCAAGCCGGCAAGCCATGGATTTCGCTTGATGCAACTTTCAGCAGCGCCAACTCTGGCTATGGTGATCCGGAGGTGGTCCTAATCGGTGATCACGCTCAGCTTCCCGCCACTGTGCTATCCAAAGCCGCAAGCCACGAGGGTTTGAGCACTAGCCTTTTCGAGCGAATGGCGGCTCGGCTTGATTTCATAGCCTCGGCATTGCATTGATGGCATTGCAGATTTCCCATTGAGCACTCTCCGCACCACAGAGGCAAACCAAAATTGCCTTGAGCCCACAGTCCTCTTGGAGCAGCGGAGAATGCACAGCTCCATCGCAGAGTTTCCCAACAGCGCATTCTATGGAGGCAAGGTGCCTGTTCCGAGTGGCCCTTGCCCCAGCAGCACTGGATTTAAGAGGAAAGAACACTTGGAATCAGATGCCAGGTAGATTAATGAATGCCGCAGATGATGCAAAGCTGACCGCAATACCGGGCTTCCCATGGCCAAATCCGGTTTCCTGCATCAAAGAAGCAGTTTGTCCGGAACTGTGTGGGTCAAGAGCTCCAGTGAAGGCCCAACCAAAGCCGAGGACTGCAGAGTCTGCTTCGTAGATGTGGCAAAGGGCCCCTCCATGCTTGAGAGCCGTCGTGGCTTCTCAGCTTTCAACGTTGCCGAGGCCGTCCAGAGACGTAGAGAGGTGAGATGAGAGCACGTGCGGATGCTGGTAGAGCTGCACAGATGTCCAGTTTCTTGATGCGTGTCATTGCGTGTCAGCTCGAGTGCAGACTCTTCCGACTGAAGCTTGTGTAATCTCGGCATATCTCGGCAGGTCTTTGATCAGTCTGTTCATGGCAAGCAAATGTTTACAGCCGATCATTCATGAAAGCGCTGAAGATTGCTAGGGTCGTCATGACAGTAGTAAGTGGAGTGCCCACTGCTTCCGCAAGGTAGGGTGCAAGGACCTGAGCTCGTATGTAAGAACACCGAGTGTACTCAAGGAAAGCAATATCTATAGTCGCATGTTGAGAGCTGAGTGGCGCGATTCTTTTTGCCGCTTGAGCAGGTGAATGAGCAAGCCGCCTTCGTAATTAAACCAAAGCATGCTGCTGAGAAGCTAACAATCATTGCCGAGATAGGTGCTGCTTTGCCATATATTCCGACATGCATGGGAAAGGTCTTAATGCCGCTCCCGCCGTAATGCAGCCAGCATGACTTTTACACTGTGCAGGCGGAAACCCTGGTCGATGTGTTGCATGGAATCATCCGTGCTGGCTACCCTGAAGATCAGATTGTGGTGCTGACTGCTTATCTGGCGCAGAAGCAGGACGCAGTTTGACCCCAGCGCGATGCCTAGCCTGTCCAGTGAGATTGGACCACGCCGAACATGGTGTCACGGCTGGGCGGGCATCACATGAGACGTCTGTTCATAGAATGCCAATGGAATCGGCGATTGCAAGTCTGAAGGAGATAATTCGCGTGCTACGCGATCGTGGGCTTGGCCGCTACTTGCACCACGTCGCTGTCGACACTGTGGATGGTTATCAGGTGGCCTGTGACATGATGGTAGCAGAGCCGTACTGGTGGAGACAAACTTAACTGACTCGATCCCGATCGCAAACCAGGAAAGTGTTCCGAACCGCCCCCAAAGAACAAGAAACTCCAACTTTACGAAGAAGGGGCGCTAGCTGCCCCCGTCTCAGGGAATGGAACAGGGGCTTGTGCTCTTCAGCGCCACCCGCAGCAACGAGTCTCGCGCTTTGGGACCGGGGGAGTATAATTTGGGGGCTTTCCTGCTGGCGTAGTATTCTTGCATGCTTGTCACGTGTCTGAGTCATTTCTTCCATCACAGTATCCAGAGACAGGAGTACAGCAGGGGTTTGCAGTGTCTGCGTGCCCGCACGTAGCTGCAGGATTCTTGGCAGACACCCGGCGGATGAATGTGATGCTGACTCGTGCCAAACAAGGTGCATGGCATGCCACAGGCTCTCGTTCCTACGTTTCATGCAAGTAGCCTCGCAGGTCTCATCGTTTTCGGAAATGCGGACACACTTCGTTTGAGCAGTTCGGCTGAACTCGCAGAAGCCTGTTGCCAAAGACGGCGCAGCAGTGGTATGTTGAGTGCTGCTCTGCATCCGAGGTGAAGCCGCGCATTCGAGATGGCCAGACTGGCTTGCCTGGGCCGAGAGCAAGACGGCGGTCCTTTCAGCCGATGAGCTCGCAGAGAGGACACCAGAAAGTCGTGTGCCAGTATAGTAGTATAACGCACAGGCGCCAGATTGTGCTGGTGGCCGGCCATCCGCAGCTGCTGTTGCTGCAGTGTTGCTGTTGGCACTGCTACTGCAACAGCAGCAGCAAGAGCAACAACTATTAGACTATTATTACTGCTACACCTCTTCGAAATACTACAACTCCTCCTGCCACAGCTTCTGCTGCTGCTGCTGCTCCTCCTGCGGCTACTGCGACGACGACTGATCTGCTACCATGGCAGTGGGAGGGGAATTCTTGGGAGTGGTCACACGGGCCCCTCGGCCCGAGGCCGAGACCCGAAACCCGTCCTCTCCAGGATCCAGACCGATACGAGGACGGAGGACACCGCGCGCCCCAGCGAAGATCTGCAAGGCCAGACATGATGTTCTGGGAGAGAGTTGTCTATCGGTTTGGGTGCTTCAGCTTCGGTGCAGGTGAATCGGCGGTTCCTCCGCCAGCCCAAGCTCAATCCGGTTCGGTTTGGCAGCAAGTATACTCTGAAGAGTATCGCCGACACTACTACTGGAACACGGACCGGCCACGTTGCACTGGCAGCTTTGGTTTATGTTTATTCTGGTTCCAGTGTCATACTGTGGCAGGAGACAAATGCAACGCAGTGGGAGCAGCCGCAGAACTTTACTCCGGCATCCTGAGACCCTTCGTGGAGGTTTCTGAAGAAGATTCGAAGCAGGGAACTTTTCACAGCCTTTTTGTGAACATCTTGGCTGGGATCATGTCTCAACAGGTTGATCTGTTGGTCTCTGGCAAGTCAGTCAAGCCGAAAGCGATTTTGTCAATGTGCAAGCTTGGCGAGACTGTCTTATCTGTTTAATTTACTCGAAAGGCTTCGTTAGAGGGTCGAGACCCACGGCTAGGGCCGGGTTGGGCAAGACCTGCGCTTCGAAAGTGAGCCGCGAGATGCCGTGGCCGAGCTCAGGGTCTCGCTCTTCAGGAGCACCCACTCTCACCAGCAGTCCCATTGTCAAGTCTGGCTCAAGTCTGTGCTACCTTCACGAGCCCGCGGCGGCCAATGCTGCATTGCCCGTGCTATGCAAACATCGGCAGCCCACCGTGCATTGGACTCTAGCGATGTGTTCGGCTGCACGGCAGCACTAGGGACGCATCCTTGGGACTCGCCTGTTATCTTCTTGAGCCACTCGATGTGCAGGTTATCTGCATGGAACTGCATCGCCGGACAATCAGAAGACCTGCGAGACTGCGGGGTGCTCTGTACTTTCGGCTTCCCCGCTGCTGGCAAGGCTCAGTCACGGAGCTGCAGAGGTGTAGGCTTGAGAGGCTTCAAGGATGTCGCATGACTCTAACCTTAAGTCATTTCTAGATGAACGGAGTGAAGACGTCCTTTCCAAGGCAAGCGTGCAAAAACGCAAGATGCAGAGCCTGCGGAGTCGAGCGCCAACACCTTCCCACAGAGCCGCGACAATGTCAGATGATAAAAGCCTTTTGCGTGGAGTCCTGCTTAGGCGTACAGAAGTAAGTAGAGTTAAACGAGAAACACGCACAAAAAGTGACTTCTTGGCAGAGCTCCTGCCAAGGATCTCCCTTCCGACGCCTTCCAGAGCATCAAGGCCAGCCGTGCAGTCGTCTGCAGTGCAAAGGCAAACAGGCCCCAGCAGCTCGAATTCACAGGCCTGATCCAAGCAACGCGGCGCAAGTTCTACACGAGATGGACATACCTGTCCAGCTCGCGAAATCCCAAAGCTTGCCAGGACTCAACAAGGGGGCTGTGATATTTGATGTCGATGTTGATGGTGACAGGAGGAAGCAAGAGAAAAGCAGAGGTCTGCGAGGCCAGGGGCCTTAGCGACAGCTACTGCAGACGATGAGCACCGGGCCTTGCTTTGCTAGGCCCGCTCCAGCCGCGCTGTGCAGCTGCTCTTGGAGAGGGGCATCCCAGAAGATTCTGGCACTGGCCTCAGTCCTGCAGAGGAAAAGTAGCATCTGCACCCCACGAACAAGTCAAAAGTCGCAGCTGTTGACATGATGCCTGGCCCTGTCGTCGAGGCACGAGTGGGCAACTTGACTGGAATGTTGGAAGCGCAAGTCGTTCGATTGCGTTGTCGTGAAGCATGATCTTGCTTGAAGCAGCATCCTGCGACGTTCTGAGAAGCCGGACGAAGCCTTCGCATGCGGACGCTTGTGTGTCAGGACAAAGCCAGCTTCCTGCGCCTCCTTGAGCGGACTCTCGGCCTTGCAGGAGGCCCTGCGGACTGAAGGCCACGAGGCACCGAGTCGGCTATGCAGCCAAATCAGAGCAGAAGAGCAGAAGCAGGCCACACACACCTGCAAAAACCTCGATGGTGTTGTCACTCTCAAGGTGGTCTTGCCTGGGCGGAAGCAGCTCTCCGGACTTCTGGAATGGCAAGCCGTGAAGATTCCGGTAGAAATCATTGCGCTTGGCGGAACAGAATCGAAACCTGGGCGCAACTCGGATACAGGTCACCATGTCGTGTGTCTGCACTCGCTCGGCTCGGCATTCCAAGGATGTCCGCTTGGTAGATGGCTCTTCCGAGCGGGAGAGCAATCGGAGTCGCAGTGCAGGCAACAAGTGTCAGCGAGGCCGGAGCTGTATCCGATGTCGCCGCTGTTTGCCTGCGGTCTGCCGCGAGGCTCCTCCTCAATCTTGATGCCGTCTTCGGATGCTTCAAGCACGTGCAGGGCAGCAAGTTGCCATGTCACCTTGCGGCATTGGCCATGAACAGAGAAGGTGTCGGCTGTCCTGTGCTGGTGACATTTTTTCAGTTGCAGTTGCAGCAGCTGCTAAAAGCCGCTAGCCGCTAGCTGCGAGAGGTGTGTCTCAGCCGCAAAGCGTCTTCGAATGTCGAGCTGTCAGTGCCGGTGCTCATGCCACGCGGAGTCGACGGCAATCTATCAAGCGGTTCAAGCTGGAGCTTCAGAATAACAGTGGCTTGTCCCGACGAGCCATCAATTGGAACAGGAACTTGCAGAGTCCTCGCCCGAAAGCGAGGACTAGACCCCGCTGCTGCACAACCACCAAGTTTCCGGCGATATCCCCTTCGTCAGGAGCAACTGAGGCGAGGATGCGTGGCGGGGAGAGCTCTACTTGTCTAAAGTACTGCTGTGTGATGCATAGAAGACGCTTGCTGCTGCAATACATTCGTAGGTCCCTGTACTGGATGCAGCAGCGCGAATGCGAGACGGAACTCTTCGACTTGACGCTGCACCGCGTCAGGGTGGACCCTCTGGCCCTTGCAGCTTGGACCTCGCCGTACCACATGCTCCTGCTGACTTGGAAAGCATAGTGCAGCAACTAAGGAAGAGCCCCTGGCAGTATCAAGCATCCAGGCCAAGTCGTCAACCCAGCTTGGGTGGCAGCTGGAGCTTCGACAGCGGCAGTCCGTGATCTTGCGAGGCTCGAATCACAGCACATGTGTCAAGATATCACGATATCCCGAGGCTTTCTGAAATCTCTGGCAGCTGTGGAGTTAAATCAGGCGGCATACTCGGGGATGCACCCGGCTACGGCAAGACCGCCACAATGATTGGCCTCATCGATGCTAGTGCTGGCACTCGCCACTGCCAGCTACACCTGCCAGCCGAGAGCGATCCCTACTTCTTCAAGTCAAGGGCAACACTGGCAGCCGGCTTGCACGCGACCATCATGTGCAAGCTTCCCCTTTCTGCCTGCGAGTGTTGATTCATGAGGATTCCGTTGGTTAGGTACTGGCTCCTTCGAATCTGCTGAAACAGTGGGCTGACGCAGCTTGAATGCACATGACAAAAGGCCAGAAATGTTCTTGGAAGCTCGCACCCAGACGCAGACCAAGGAGATCCAGAAGTTCACTGCCAACCCGGAAGGATCCACCAAACTGGAGGCCCGGAACTCGGCCTTTGCTAAGGTGTCGGGTACACTCGACAAGCATAGTCTTCTGCAAGGTTGGGGTGCGGCCACCTAATCTAGTCAGGTGGTTTTGCATCTTCTCACGTCCACAGATGCGCTCGTGTCTCGTGTCTGCTCTCGGACCGTGCTGTGGAGAGTCGGCTACTGGCACACCCACTGGCATGGCATTGCCTCAAGCTCTTCGTGGCCGCAAAGAAGGTTCTCTCTTGCTGCGCAAAGCAGCGGTCCGCCGACTCCGCTGACAAGTCCAGATGCTCTGCTTGGACGACTGCTTTGTTGTCTTCTTCACTTCTGATTCGCCATCGCTCTGGTGAACGTTTTCCCTCAACACGCAAATTCGCCGGCTTCCCGGGTCCACAACGAAGCATCAAACCGAGCCTGACCAGGGACAATCTGAGTGGCATTGGTTGGTGCTGACACGGAGGATCTCGAAAATACCAGCGCTAGCACTGCCCAGTGTCGGCGTCACACGCAGAGGTGAACAGCGAGCAGGTGCTGTGTATGCTAGCTCACGAACGTTTGCACTGATGAGCTATACATATTCGATACAGGAGTAGTAAGTCAGGACGCCTGGTAGTGCTACGTAATTGCGGCCCAGCCCGTCACATACTACTAGACACGATCAGTAACTAGACGTAGAGATGCAGAAGGTACTTTCAATTGGGACAGCAGCCCAGCTGAAGATGCTTACGGTGGACAAGGTCAGCAGAGCTGCACCTCGGACAAAAGTGGAAGTGTTTGGATCTTGAGGCTTCCAGCCTTCAAGGCTTCAGGGTACTCTACGCAGGGATTCTGCTTTGGGCTCGTTTCAACTTGACCGTGTCGCACCGTGTCCGCATCGAGAGGGGGGAGTGCAGCAACTGAGTTTTTGTGGATGGCCAACTAAGCTAAGGACATCGTGATTTGCTCCTATCGCTTGCTGTACTCCCCGGTATACAGGCGGCGCTTGCAAGAGCTTTCAGGTGACTTCTCCCAAGTGTCCAATGGCGAGGCCCGGACCAGCAACGTTTGTGTTTTCGCGGCATCTTTCGTCCAGCATGGTGAGGCAGCTCGCATGGCTGTCGACATCCAAAGCCTGCGTCGAAACACCAAGCGCTTTCGTGAAAATCCCAGCGAGCTTGGATGGCTGCAAATTCCGGATTCGTCAACGGGCAGCCCGCAACGAGCGAGCGTCGCGGCAGCTAGCAGCGACGACGCCAACAACCTTTGCTTTCCAGTGCTGGAACAGGTCTGGTGGAGAAGAATCGTTTTCGACGAGTTCCACGAACTTGAGGCCAAGCAATAGGGAACGTTGGGGAAAATCAGCCCATTCAGCCTTACCTACCAGCATTTTTGTTTTTACCAAGGTGAGTTGTGTTGCTGAGCTTTTGTGAGCACAGTCTCGTGGTTAAGGGCCCGGAAGCCAGTCTTGCATTGGGTTTGTTATGTTGGTCTGAACGGGTATGGTGCATGAAATCATGGTTGAGTCAGAGCCTCTCTTTGGAAACCTGGAGGCAATAGGTGACACGGCGCAGTTCGACTCCTTGCAGTGTATTTGCGCCGGTTGCCGGTGGGGCCTGACAGGCACTCCGCCTACCCGAGACTTGTCACAGGTGGCGACATTGGCGAAGCTTTTTCAGCTGCCAGGCTTGCCCTGCGAGGATGGCAGTGAGTATGAACTTCAGCTTGCACAGGAAATGGCTCGATCCTTCTTGGATCGATTCGCCAGGCAGAACACGAGCGAAGAGATCGAGACTGTGCCTTTGAACGAGCACCTCGTTGCAGTGGAACAGACACCGGAGGAGCGTGCAATCTACTTGCAAGCTTCTCATGACCTTTGCCAGGCGAGTGGGGCGGCACTCGAAATCACTGGCGAGTCTCGTGGGGTAGAAAGGCTTATCAAGCTGTGCTCCCACTTTGCTGCATATTCTGGAATGGCTTCGGGATCATCCGCGGATGCTGGGACGGAATGCCGCCGAATCTTGTCCAGCAAAGAGCAGCAAGCGAAAAGAGCAGCAAACCAAATGCAGCGCTGGGGCATCCGCTTGGAACTACGACTTCGAGAGACTTCCGCTGTCAGTTGCGGTCAACGATTCGAGCTCCAGACTGGGATCTTGCGTCGTCTTGGAGCAACTGTACCGGAGGCCCCAATGTCTTGCACTGATGGGCAAGGTCATGAGCTTTCAGATGCCCCTGTCAGTGCCCAAGACTACACTAGTACCTGGGCTGCTGTCTCCCAGCCAGCAGCTGCTGTGACTTGGCTCGCTTGTGCTCAACTCAAGAACATGTCTTGAACTTGTCGGTGTTTTGGGGCAGAAAGGTTCCGACCCATTTGTTCATTGCTTTTCGAGCCACCTCGACCTGCCAGCTTTGCAACTACATCTTTACATCTGGCAACACTTTCAATTTGCATTACAGTACATCTGAGGCATCTGCCGCAGCTTGCCTTGTGGAGGCAAGGTTCTGTTTAGCGTGGCGCAGCCATGCGCAAGGGACTTCAGAGGGGAGCATTAACTCCTTGGCATCACTTGACATCTCATATCATCTCAGCCTTGGCGGCTCTGCCAGTCTGCCGCACGAGAAGGCTCACACTATGAAGAACATCCAGCAACATGAAGGAAAGTAATTACTGTGGTCCAAGGCCCAACTTTTCAATTTTTGGGGCACTTATTGCCAGTCTTGTTCTGACTTGTTACAGCATGTATTTGGGAAGTACAGATAGGACACTATCAGACTTTCCGACAGGTTGCACGTATGTGCTTGTCGGAGCTGCAGCGGAAAGCCGGCGAGTTCGAAGAGACGGAAGACGGTCTCCAAGGTCTAGCGGTGTCAGCACGCACCCGTGTCCACCAACGTGTAGCGGCCTCTTGGTCCCCTGACCCTGACATACCCTGATCTGCAGATCGCATGGTGGCGGCTGCAGAGGCAGCGAGCTCTTCCCAGAGATCCCTTCAGCACTTCCTGCAGCAGTTGGATGTGGGTTTTGACTTTTAGTCCGTGAGCGTGCCATCCACATCTTACCAGGTTCTTCCAACGAACGCTGGCGGCTGCCCGGGGTGAGGCATCATCTGAACAAAGATCTTGCAGCATATGCTTGGAGGAGGATCTGAACGAGGCCGGTGCCGCATTGTCCAAGCAAAGCAGGGTTCCAACGGGCGCTGCAAGGAAGACCTGTCCATAGCGACTTGCGCCCACGTCTTTCATACTACCTGCCTTCAAGAAGTGGTGAAGAAGTTCGGAAACTGCCCCGCAACTCGGCTCGTGATGCTTGTGTTTCGATCAAGGGCATACGCCATGTCGAGATTAACGTGATATGTGGGCTACTTGATATTGCAATTGACTTATTGCTCAGCTTCAGGAACGCCGGCACAAGCTGGGAAAGAGCGACGTCACACGCCTTACCAAAGAACTCCAAGCACCTGGTCCGGGGCGAGGCTGCAGTATACTGCAGTATCAGGGTTTGGGAGGTTCAGGGGAGAAGCCGGGGGAAGCTCTGCCACTCTAACTTCTGATTTGGGCCGGCAGGTCGTAGCTACCTGCTCGTTTTCGGGTCGTTCTGTGCAGGCTGCAAATTGCGCGGCAGCTCAAAAGCGTTCGAGAAACAGGCGGGCGGCAAAGTGCACAGAGCGTGCAGAGAAGCGGCGCGCGATGCCTTGATTTGAGGCCGGAAGCAAACTTGCAGCGTTGGCGGTGCACTTGAAAAAATTGCATGAACGTGGCCGCTTGATTTCGGGATCCGCTTCACGTGTTCTGAGCTTTTCATGCCTCACTTTGAGTTTCATTGCGGAGTGGAAATCTTGCCGGCAAGTGAGCCCTGAATCCAGAAGTTGCAGTCTCAGGTGAAAAGGCGTTGGTCTTCTGCCAATGGGAGGATTTGAAAAGGTGTGTTTCTGCTGCGCTGAATGGTTTGGGTGTGCCGCACTTGGAGTTGGTCGGGTCCGTCTTCCAACGGGCGGAGGTGCTCCGCCGTTTCCAGGACGGAAAGAGAGAGAGAGAGAGAGAGAGAGAGGAGCCTTAGCCTGACTTGCTTGTTGTTTACTTGAGGGCATCGTCCCTGTCCTTTCATGCTCCGGGGGGACTTTTTTCTCTCCTGTCCAGCCGAGCCCTCCCCGATCCAAATTGGGGAAGGGAACAAAGAAAACCCGTGAACCGCGGGTGCGCGCTCGCGCGCGGAGGATTCAGCTGGACCGCTGTTTCCTCCTGTCCCGAGAGAGAGAGAGAGAGAGAGAGAGAGACGCCCCTTATCACGAAAGCTAGCCCCCGTTCAGCTAGCGGAGTATCTTACTCAAGCGAAGCTTACAACCAGATAGGTATATAGGGTCCGGAGGCTCCGCCACGAAAAGCAGCAAACCCCATCTATTTGCGGGACCGAATCGCATTTTTTGGGGAAACGAGTTGGCGTTCATTTCTTTTGTATTGTGGTGCAAATGAACACCGCTTTTTGGGTCCTCCAGGGGGTTCTAGGCCCTACGGGTCCCAGGGTGGGCCCAGGGCAGGTTTGCCGGAAGTGCTAGGGGTCCGCGGCTACCAATCGCAGAATGTCCACCACAGTAATAGGGGTTAGGGTTCAGGGTTGAGGGGACTCCTCTGCAGCGTGCCGGCTCCTCATCTAAAAAAACACGGACGCTTGCATGTGCCTGCTCCGCTGCATGCCTTCGGTCCTGGGAAGTACCCTTCCGTTAGGGGTACCTTAACTAGCTTTCGTCCCAGGCCCTCACCCCTAAGTGCCCGAAGGAAGAAGAAGAGAGAGAGAGAGAGAGAGAGACGAAGCTCGAGCAGCAAGAGAGAGAGGGAGGCGACGGGAGGCGGAGGGAGGGTCGAAGAGAGGGTCGGAGGGAGAGAGAGACGAACAGCCTCTGCAGGATGAGGATGGCGATGGCGCAGATGGCGGCAGTCGCTCCCTGCTCCTTTCGCTGGAACACGCGGCCAGCGGCACGAACCTCACCGCCGCGAACCATGCGCTTTGGACTTTCCAAGCCCTTCAGCTTTTCACAGAAGGCCGAGCTCTGCGAATTTCTGCCACAGGTCGTCTTCGTCCACCCGATGTATGCGACCTCCGCTGAACGGGCTGTGGCTTATGAGGCCCAAGCAATTGCTCGTTGTCGTCGCTACGGCCAACAGAAGCCCGAGGCACCTTGCAACTTGCAGCTGAAGCTTAAATAATGTGCTGTGTTCACACTGAGGGGGGAGAGTGGAATTTCGAACGCACAGCGGGTTTAATCTCGGGGCTGCGCGATGTAAGTACTGCTGTGTGTTGTGTCAGTGCCAGGTGAACTGCTGGCGCTTCGTCACTTGCGGAACGATCGAGGACCTGCTGCTTGTGAAGGCTGTTCTGGACGACATGTTGACATGCTCTTGATTCCGAAGTCTCTGCTTGATCATGTTCGATAATTGGTGCGCATGTCTTGTCTCGCGTGTCGTCTCCAAGTTGTCAAAGCCAGGAGAGCATTACGGCCTCCCACCAGAAAGAGCTGTGGCGGCGCGAAGCCGGGAGTAATGCAAAACATGACTCGCTTGCATGGAATCATTGGAGGGCATTTCCTGTGCCTGAGCCGTACCGCAAATTGTTAGCTGTGCATAGGGCGGAATCTACCTGCAATGTCCATCCTCAGCCTGCCTGCCAGCATACCGCACGGACAGCAGCAGACTTGCAAAGCTTCGCAGACGCTAAGCCTGTTCTTTGGTGCTTCTCTGGTTCTCTAAGCGCCGTTGCTTGTCAAGCTAAACTACTACAAAAAGCGACTTGAAGCCTGGCGTGTGTTCTTAGTAGCTTGATCTGCCCGCATTGTTGGAACGCGTCTCAGAGCTGCTGGAACGTCCACGTCATTCAGTCGTCCATGTAGTGACCGCTGTTGCGGCGGCTCATGATGAGACGGAGTCTCAGGTCTTCCATGCAGGAGGCTCTCGCCTCAGCATGTATGCAAAAAGGGTGTCAGTGTTTGAAATGACCGCTGGGAAGGCGACTTCGCCCGAGACCTTCCAGGAGCTGCGTTGGCTATAGATAACCTGGCACATGAATAACCCAGGAGCTCAATCGTCTCCCAGACCCTCCGTGCTTGCGGCATGACATGGATGAATGCCTTTCAGAGGTTGTAAATTCTCAAACCTCCACGACAGCATGCGAAAAGTACAGTATGCGAAAAGTGGGTACTGTTTTGGTGCTCTGTGTATGAAATGAGGAGATGCGATGAAGCTTCGTGTCGTGAGCCACAGCCATTTCTGAAGTTGTGGCAGCATGTGAAGGCGGCCGAGTCCTTTCAGGGAGCCAGGCGCGCCTGCTATGTGCCCACTCTTGCTTGGAACATGATGCTGTTTCCTGAACAAGTCGCAGCACGAGCCAAATGTCATTTGGATGGAGTGCGGCAGAAGATTTCAGCCCACGGACTTGCATGGCTTGTCTCTGGAAACGTCGCCGTTCGAGGAGGGGCACAGGCAGTACTAGGCGAGCTGTACTGGCCTCCGTAAGCTGAGGCCAGGCTACGTGTTCAAAGTTGACAAACATGGCTTGGGGTGCCCCTTGTCCAGCTGTGATTCAAGGCCGAAAGGCGATGACGAGTTGTCGCTCGAGGTACTATCTGGATCCCGTACAGGTCAACCGATCTATCTGGGATGATGTCAGTCGCTCATGTCCGGCTCCAGCAGCTTGCGCAAGAGCATTTTCGTAGCTGAGGTAGTTTCCAAGTTGCCCGAAACTTGGCGGGACACGCCACATCGGGAGGCTCGCTGGCATGATGGGGCTTGTGGCTGTGAAGCTGGTTTTTGAAAGGAGCAACTACGCAGGCTTCTCAGATCCCACCTTTCATGGCTGTTGGCAAGATACCGTGTCCTGCACCTGCGCTGAGGTGTCAGTCAGCAGCAAAGTTGTGGCTTGAGTATGTCGCACGGACCCAAGCTACGTCATGTTGGCTCGGAAGTCGTCGCAGCAGGAGGGACGTGCGTCAGTTCCGAGAGGCACAGTGATTTTGGCTTCGTGGTCGACAAGGTGGAGGACGAGTGTTGATCCCAGTGGCACAGGAGTTAGGCATGTGCATACTGCAGAAGCTGCCAGAGTCCAGCATGAGGCCTGGCCAAAAACTGCACAAGGGCGAGGTGAGATCGAAGCGATGCAGTTGACTTGTGCAAAGTTGCTTCGTGAACGGAGTGTGCATGGGTACTGTAGTTGTTATACAGCTCGTAATTACGGTAGCCTGAATCCGTTAGTTTGTTGCATAATTGCGCAGTCGAGCCAAGGTTTTGAGTCAGAAAAAGCGCAACACCTGACCTGGCACTAGCAGTGGCTAGCCACCAGGCCATCGTGGCGATAGAAGGGCGTTTGCTGGCTGGACTCTCTGCTCCGCAGATGCAGGCCACGATGCTGACACAGAATTATGTAAAGATGTCGCGCCACTTTCGGCTTCTGGCTACTGCTTCGAAGTTACTTGTAAACTCCCAGCTGCCTGATTGTAACTCTTGTGGCGGCTAGGCCTCCTTCCAGAAGCGCCGTGTCGACGGTGCGCGACTGTATGTGGTCGATCTCGCCAAGGCTCTGGGCTCAGACGGACATGGGACAGCAAGGTTCGAGCAAGTCATCTACGAATGTGTGCGATTTGAAGGCAGAAGAGCTGTCCAGACGAGACCCAAACATCATTGAGATGTGGGACCCTGTTAAGCAGGCATGGCTCCAAGAGTACCGTTGCTCTCAGAATGCCGTCCTGCACCTGAGCACAACTATTTCTTCCACAAGAAGACTGGCAAGAGCGCATGGACGCTGGAGGATGCCCTTGTCCTGCCACATTAATTTGCAGACGTCAGAAGGGCATGATGCACCTCCATACTTTCGCAAGGAGCTGCAGCCGGCTCCATCCACGTCCACGTCGACCTCGGCTTCGTGACTGGGCTTTGAGTCAAGATGCACCTCTTGCCTGTTATTGCCGATTGCATCCAAGGTCGGAGAAGCGGAAAGCGGATGCATCGCAGGTGGGTGATGTCTCAGTCCCATACACGGCCCGGTAGATGTTACTATCCTCATACCCAGAAGTTATCCCAGTTGGCTGGCCGAAGGCGCCGATTGACATCGCCCACTTCATGCAGCATGGGCTCCTTCACGTGTTTTTTTGCTGTTGTGCTGACGGGGATGAAGCAGACGGGGTGCAAAACCAACACCTTCGGGACCAAGCGTACCGAAAGGTTCGCAAAGCAGAAAGAGCAGCCAAAGAAGAAGGCTAAGGCGACGTCTGACGCAGAAGATTGCAGACGGCAGGCGTTTTTTGCAGAGATGGTACTTGGCCAGGCCAAAGCTGACGAGACAGACAGGAGTGAGTGCTGGCCTTACATTCGTGTGCACCGGAGCCCGGAGCAGATCTCAGAATGCGTATGAAGTGTCCGAAGTGTCAAGGTCCGATCTTGCAAGAGAGGAGCTTGCGAGCCAATCTGTGCTTCCAGGGATGCAGACGTTGTGAACAAATGCTGCTTCATTGATGCTCGCATCCCACAGCCGATCAGGTGCTTTGAGCCACACAAAAGTGCAAGGGCATAAGATGAGGATGTTGACAGCCATTGCTTGGGAACTGCTGACAAGTCATCTGCTCGAGTAGAACCGAAGTATGGGTAGAACTAGGATACTTCAACGACATCTTGGTCGAGTTTAGGTGTGGACACAGGGCTTAAGAGCAAAGAATGCCGCACGACTCGCAGACGAATGTGAATGTGTAACCTGAAGAGTAGCTGCAAATCTTTCGCAAGCTGTTTCGCATGGACGGGCGGAAGCCGAAGTGTGCACGAAGAGCCTGGCCCGGAAGCTGCCGTCGGCGGCACAAAGGGCCAGCGCCCCGACATGCTCTCAGCTTTGTGAAAAACTGGGTGACAGTGAGAATCGTCATAAAACAGGTACGACTTTGGAGAGGTTTTGCTTTCAGCATTGCTGTTCCACAGTGGCACCGTTTCAACGATTCCCAGAATTTGCCAATCCCCTGGCTCACCGCCTCGAATGGACCCCTGGCTGCCTGTGGATGTCACCGGGCTCTTCAACCATCTGCCTTTGACTTCAGTCTTTCTGTGGCTTCATAGAGGCAAGTTTCACCAACACATCTGGATCGAGGCAAGCTCGCCTTGTTCTGCAGTGCACCGAGGTCCGCACATGAGCGGTGTGGCCCTGTGCGTCCAGACCTGAGGCAGCACGCCCACTCGTGCGGCTAGAGGTGTCCAGCCTTGCGAGGATTTTCCCGTGGAGCTTGGACGTGGAAGGCAGAGGGTCGAAGATGTCACGAAAGCTCGCACAGCAGGGCTTGAGTTTAGTCTTGCGTTTAGCAGAGAGGCAGACCAGCGCCAGTATCAATTCAGGGCTGCGTTTTGGGGTGGGGGAGGGGGGTGCGCTAGATTAGCTGAGCTTCGTACCTCCTACTACTACTGCTACTACAACAACAACAACAACTACTACTACTACTACTACGACGACTACTCCTTCTTCTATGACGACTACGACGACGACGACGACTACTACTACTACTGCTGCTGCTGCTGCTACTACTACTACTACTACGACTACTACTACCACTGCAATGAATATAGTCGCCTCCTTGTCTACCTCGTGACCGTCGTGACCCCGCAGTGCTGACCCTGTCGTGCCAAGTGGGTGACAAAAGCTGCTACTACTACTACTACTACTACTACTCCTACTACGCGCATAGCCCGGGGTTTG